ATATATATATATATATATATATATATATATATATTTAAAAAATAAAAATAAAGCATACCGGGTTGGGTCGAGTCGACCCGAAATCCGACCCGACCTGATCGGGTTGGGAATTTTCCAACCTAATCCAACTCAAGGTTTATTCCAACCCAACCCAACCCTCATCGGGTTCATTGGGTTTTTTGAACACCCCTGCTATCCATGAGCACTATAAAAGGCAGGCCAAACAGCTCCCATAAAATTAAATTTGAGAAAGTGTAACATTTAATCAACAAAAAGCCAAAAAGAATTCTAAATTACAGAGTTAACAGCACATACTTATTTCGAATTAAAGGATGCATAGATATGAAGCTAGAGATTGTAATTAGTTTACCTCAATTGGATTTGTCCCGACGTCAATTACTACAGCACCAGGTTTAAGCCAATGACCACGAACCAGATTAGGAACTCCAGCAGCAGCAACCACTATGTCAGCTTCGCGAGTAATCTGTTCAGGATTCCTAGTAAATGCATGTACAATACTGACAGTAGCGTGGTGTCTCTGCAGAAAACCAGAATGCAGAATATTTCAGTGCCTCTACATAATTCTAGAACACAGAAAGTGCAAAGTAATTGTGGACCTGCAAGAGCAAGGAAGTGGGTAATCCAACAATATTACTTGTTCCAATCACCACGGCTCTCTTCCCCGAGATTTCAACACCGGATCTGATCAACAACTCAATGCAAGCTTTGGGAGTGCAGGGCAAGAAAAGTGGCTCCCTGCCCCTCAAGGCAAGATTCCCCATATTGAGTGGATGAAAGCCATCGACATCTTTTTCTAGGTGCACGGAGTTCAGAATTTTTCCCTCATCCAAATGCTGTTCCACGACATCAAATTGTCAGTCTACATGATCCATAAAATCAACGAGTTCTAAATTTGTACTAGTGGCAACACAGGTCACCTACGGGAACTACATGTTGGCTGGCTACTAAACAATATTTACCAAAAAAAGATTTGAAAAACATCTCTTTTATACTGAGAAGTACTTTATGGAAATAAAGAACCATCCCATCTGGAGACATGGAAGACATTATGGATCAAATTGGTGTAACTAAGAAAGAGAATTTTATTAAGGACGAGATCATATTTTACGAGGAGAAAGGCTGCCTATTTATAAACAAGGAGCCAAGAGGAAAATCTTAACTAACAGAGCTAACTTAACCGAATAACTAACAAATAACCACTCAACTAATTAAGCAATTAACAAATAGGTCTAACGGCTACATCACAAATTTAAGCTACTATGGGAACAGTGAGGAGCCGATAAACGATGAAAAACGCTTCCCCAAAAACAAAAGAAGAAAAGCATCGCATTCATGTTATTTAGATTGAAACGTGCAGAATTAAATACAGTCATGGCCCAGTTTTAGAAATTACTTGCGGTAGAGGTAGCTGCACAAGTATACCATGAATAGATGGATCTTCGTGAAAACATGACAAAGCATTAAGAACTTGATATTCTGTACAACTTTCGGGCAAAGTAGAAATCTTTGACTTGATTCCAGCTTCTTCACATGCAGCTATCTTGTTACGAACATAAGTTTGTGAGTCCCTTCTTTGGCCGACCATGATTACAGCCAAGCCAGGAACCCTTCCAATAGAGTTCTTCATCTTTCTCACTTCACTAGTTATTCTTGATGTAATTTCCTCCGCAATCGTCCTACCATCAATTACTGTTGTAGTCTGTGGGTAATCTACAAGAAACATTGGATCATCAGACACAAAGAACATCCAGATAATAGAGAGATCAAGGTTAAACAATATGATGTAACAAACCTATAAAGTGACATGACACCCTGAATTGAACTCGGGAAAAAGAAGATGACAAGTGAGGAAAGGTTAAAATGAAATGTGACTTACCACATGACGTACTGGTGGAAGAAAAACCAGGAGAGCTGGAACCAGTCCAAATATCAGGAAAATCAATGGATATGAGAGACGGGGACATTAATATCTGTCGGGCATCTGTTGTAATTCTTCTTTCCATAGCTGTCGATGTAAGTAGGACTCTCCTACTCAGACTCTTGGACAATGACGCCATGTACACACAATGATTACTGGCACAATTTAACACGGTAACGTTGTTACTATTAGTTACCAATAACTGCAGCATTTAGTTACAACTTACATTAGCTGATATGTAGAAAACAGCTAGCAAGGTGAAGATAATTTCCAAATAACCCTTCCGGAAGAAATTTTATGGCTTATGTTAATATGGAACATAAATAAAACTCATCCAAATTTTGATTGATGAGATCATCTGTCTTCTTCCATTCTCCATCTTTGCATTTATCCCATGCGATCTTCAAGTTGGTCTCAACTTTTCCAATGGCATCCTTGAGTATCAATTTGTTAATGAATCAAATCACAGTTGTAGAAATGTAATTTCCTTTAATACGATTCCTAAGTATTGAATTTGATCGGAATAACGATACTTCCTAGAAATCAGAAATTGTGTCGATCAGTATTTGGATTTTTTGGGCTGGCCAAGTGACCATAGCTTTGATTTTGAAAAGGTTATTTTGCACCCCTTCACTTGACATTCTGTGCTCCAAATACTTGATCAATTCCTAACAAAAGCTGCATTTCTTAATATTGATCAGTAGGCTTGGAAGGCTGAGGTGCACTGGAAAGGTTATATGGAATGGCTAAGAACTTATAACAGCCTTTATGAGTCCTAATGGCAGTCTTAACAACTTCATCTGGTCTGGCCACACCGTGATTTTATTATAACCTGAATTCAAATCCAATTTCGAAAAATTATAGCACCATCTGTTTCATCTAGAAGTTGATCGATTATTGGGATAGGAAACTTGAAACTCTATAGTCTATGCAAAATCTTGAGCTACCATCTTTTTTAAGTAGGCCGGGCTAGATAATTAAACAGACTACAGCGAGATTGTACAACACCCATTGCCATCACCTCCCCACTTAACATTCAATCTCATTTATGGCCCTCATCATAGACTACAGCAAGTCTGATACCAAGCCTCAGTCATTGCATGCCAAGAGTGAATTTGCAACTCCCCAACTCCAGGGGTAGCAAGTCCTCGTGTATGGACTCTTGCACACTTCCCTCAGGCCGGATCGAGGAGAATCATTCATATGTCAATCCTTCCTACATCACCATTTTTTCGTCCAACTACATCAAACCGAACGCCTACCCTTCCAAACATAAAACGATAGTCTCCTTTTTACTGATTCTAACAACTAGTTCACCTAAAAAAAACTTTAAGAATCCGTACATGAGGATCAATGCCACTAAAGGTGAGGCAATTCCAACTTCTTTGAGATATATTCAAGATGTTTCTCCACTTTCTTCCTGACCTCACTATATTCCCAAAATCTCCATCGATCTCCTAGTCTATCAACCCTCTCCGTCGAACCTTTCTGAACTAAAGGATATATGAGAGTTTATCTCGTAATTGGCTTATCCTTTCAGAATTGCAGTGCAGTAATGTTCCTCCCCATCAAAAGAATTATCTGTACCCCCCTGCAATCACTCCCAACCTTGTCTCCACCAATGCCATATTGTTTTCTTTTTCTATGCTCGTGATGTACTGTCATCTGATTATCGTGAAAAAAGTACAAACTACCATATTAATTTTTTTGGTATGAAACACGATATTTCATTGATTTTGGAAATATACAAAAGGCCTCATAGGCAAGTTACAAGAACGCCTTCCAGCTATAAACAAGGTCGTTGAGATTGTAACTACTAAAGGATGCATAGAAACATTTACACCAACTAAGAGCTAAAACTATAACTCTGTCAAAAAAAACCTCAAAAGGTAGAGAAACATCGTTGAAAATCCGATTGTTCCGTTCAAGCCATAATTTCCAAATAAAAGCCCTGATAATTAGTGTCCAAAGGATGGCTCCTTCCTTCTTGAGTGGGTGGCCATTCAGTAGGTAATCTAGGAAGGCAGTAGGCCTCAATGGTATGGTCAAAATACCATATTATTTGATAGCTTTGAATCTCTCCCTTAATAGACTAGTTACGATGCATACCTGATACCATTTCCTCCTTACATCATCAGTTATATGTTATCTTAACAACTGATCTCAAAGGAGCAAATACTACCATTCTTTCCAAAAGATGGTACCATATACCTAACTGTCTTGACATGCTAAACACTCCTCACCTTCCTCCTTGCATACATAAACTCAGTTGGAGGCTTACCAATCCTATTAGGATGTAGATTGCAAATGAGTAAATAAATCGATTACCAATCCAATTAGAATCATTCACTTGTGGCGATAGTAACTCGTTCGAACCTATACCAGATTCACTATCAACAATCAACTACTTTAGGATCCTAAATTCGAAGATCACCGTTGCAAACAAATCAACATCTTCGAAAATAAAATACAATAAGCAACGAAGAACGTCACTCGACACATAACAGACGGCAAGAAATAGAAAAGATGCATGCGATAGCAGAGCAGAACGCGATAGAACAATTACCTGAAGGCCGCTCTGGCGCTACGACGTTGAAAGGCCAAAATCCTCGAGTCGAACGTCCTTTAACCGAGACCTTGGAGAATAAAAAATAAGGAACCATACATCACATCACATCAGCAAATTTTATGAAAAAATCCGTGATTCCGATGTCTGAGAGTTGAAAATCTTTCCTCCATCGCCACCGCCACGACCGTCATTATCTCCTAAGGATTGCGAAACAAAGGAGTGAAAGTGAAGCTCGACGAACTAAGCAAAATCAAAGAATTTTCTAGGGCTTTGCCGCATTGGCCACTTCTGCAAATTGACAGTTCCAAAGGGGATGGAGCCAACTACAGAGTAACACTCGCTTTTTTCTTTTTTTCTTTTCAAGGAATCTCCTAATAAATTACATAAATTTAATATGTATTTTTATTTATTTATTTTTTACTGCAATTTAATATGTATTTTTAAAACAATTATATTACCACTTTATATATATATATATATATATATATATATATTTTAAAGGTGTTTTTATATTTCATTTAATCATGATTTTAAATAGCGATAGGATAGAAATGTCGATGTCTCAATTTCATGGAAATATCCATAAAATGTAAAATTCGATAAATATTTATGAAAAAATTATAAAAATAAAAAAATTGTAAAAAATATTTAAATTAACAAATAATTATTTCACCCTCTGTAAATAAATAAAAAATGTTTAATATTAATATTATGTTTATATTAGTGATATTTTGTTGATATTTTTCATATTCTTATCAATTTTCTTCAATACTATGGAAATGTTAATTTAGCTCTTATGTTGATGTCAAACTTATAGATATATATAAATGTCGACATTTAATTTTAAATTCCATTGCCAATTTAAGCATAATTCTATATATTAAGTCATGAGTTTGTATCCCTATTCTGTACTCAATAAAAATAAAAAGAGAAACTTTAAATTTCATTCGGACTATTTTTTTTTAATTTCAATTTATGCTAGGTTTGAAAATAATATCTCTTTTTCTATATATTTGTTTAAAGATAAAAATCACTTTTATGCTCAAACTTATACCATTAATCCTAGTCCTAGCAACAAAATTAAACTAAATTGAACCCTAATCCCATTTGCTGATTTGGGCAATAGCTGAATTAGTCAAAGACTTCATTCATTTTAACTACTAGTAAGATTTTCAAATTACTTTGAGAATTTGAGGAATAAAGGAAAAATTAAACCATTTCTTTGCAATGAAGACTTTGATTTTCAACCAGTTAGTCAGAGACTGTTTAGAGTATATTTAAAACTAACATTATCAGGTGAACTAACAATACGAGTCTCCTTTTAACATATCTTAATAGGGGCGGATCCATGTAGGAACTCGGACACCCCAAAATTTAGATTAAGTATAGTACATTGTACAATTCGAATAAGAAAACAATTTTCGAAACTCGGATTCTACAAAGGTTGTTTTTTAAATACATTTTTGCAAACAAAAAAAGAAATATAATTTAATATTTCATGTCTAATTAAGTTTATATGGTAGACCATTTTTTTTTCTTCATAACCTTAAATTTAAATTCTACTAAAAAACTCTTAAATTTAGATAAGTGTTGTAATTTTTACATTTTATTCAATTGTGCTCACGATCCTATTAATTTAAACAAAAATAAAACTCCATAAAAAATCGCTAATTTAATAAAAATTAATTTCTTTTTAACAAAGTTTGATTAATGCACAAAATCTACCATTAAACAGTTGTTACAAAACTTACAAATTTAAGCCTAAAAACTATATTTAATGTCATTTTCGTCCAAATCCTATCGTTTTCATACCAATATGCCTTCTATCTCATTCGACACTTTTCAACAAATTTTCAAATATGAGAATCTATGTAAGAGTAAAATTTGCAACACTTTTTAAAATTTAAGGTGAATATTATCAGGCTTATCCAAGTGTAAGGTGTAAACTCATACTCATTACCAAGTTCATGCTTAAAACTCATAATCTTTCATTATGTTTACATACATGTGTGTCTCTTCTGACATATAACATTTTACATCTGTCACTGTAGTTCAAGTGGTCGATCGTCATTCTACAATTGTTTAACTTAATTTTTAAAAAATATATCAATCTGACCAGAACCATACTAAAATTTTAGCACGAGGGATTATCCATGGTGCCAAACGGCACATTGATCTTCTCTCGTAATAAATAGTAAGATTAATCTACTTAACATCAGGAGGTTGTCTTAGTGTTCCAATGTATAAAAAATTAAAGCTGATATCTTAATTGCCTCAACATTCTAGTGCATGATCTCTACTACCGAATCATGTTATATGTCTCGAGTTACTTTCAAAATTTAAGACTAGACGATCCCATCAAATCAACATGTACGATTCCTATTCAAATGTTTTTGTCCTCATTCAACCACATGCATATACTAGGAGAATATCCTCAGAGAGTAGCCAAACTAAAATTGTCCCAAAGCTATATACATTTCTTGGTGAATTAGGTACCAACAAAGAATGTGCACTTTATGGGTATAGATTTTTTCAAAATTTTTTTTATTTAATTACTCTATATTATAGTTGCAAAAACTCAAAATTCCTCTTGTTTTAATGAGTTGTCGGTTTATTCATGCGTCCAGTCACCTAAAAATTCAGTAGGAGCTGTTTTTAGTCCATGCTTCCACGTAGCATTGACGGGCCAATCATTCCCCACCACTTTTCTACTATGAACATCGCATACCCAACATCTTTCATTTGGCTTCTCCTCTTGATGCAACTTATAGCGACCCAAGGTCATAATGGGTGTCAAATTCATACTCTAAGTCTTGACGACTGCTGTGAAATGACATCCATTCTCGAACCATGGTCACAAAAATAAAAGAGCGTATGATATTGAGCTCAATATTTGAAGAAATATGAAAATGTTAAAATATTATTTTTGGTCTTTATACTTTCTTATTCATTTTATTCATTTTGGTTCTTGCAATCTCAAAATGTCTGTTTTGATCCTTCTAATTTCAAATATTGTCTATTTTAATCTGGGTATATTTGAAACGTTTGTTTTAATTTTATCTTTTTTTTTCTCATCACAATTTCAACACGACATTACACACACTATACTTCTTGAAATGTAGTCATAATTTCATATCAAAGAGTTATCATTATGTATAGAATTTGTATTAAAATTTTGCAAACCCAGATAAGAAACACTCACATTTTAAGAGTACGGGGACCGTACCGAACGTTTTGAAAGTAGAGTGACTAAAATGAACAAAAATTGAGAGTATAGGACCAAAATAGTATTTTAATCTGTATAAAAAACAGAGTGGCTCCATTTTTACCACTAAAAAAATAAGTTAGCCAAGCCAATATTCATGCTAGATCTCACCCATAGCATGTGGTTAAATTTTGATGGGAAAAAGATGGCTCCCTAGTGACTGATGCATGTTGGCCTGATGGAGAGAAAGGACTTTTAGTTTTAGAGACTGTTTTCCTTTTTGGGTACCTTTTTTGAATTTTCTTTTTGTCCTTTGCCTTTTAGCTTCTTCTTTGCATTTCATTTTGGTTGTTTCCTTTTTCTCTCTGCCTTTAGTGGAAATATCTTGCCTTCAAATAAGAAGAATGGTGGAACTCCACTTGTTTGATGCAAGATTTGGATTAGGAATGTAACGTCAAAAGCTTCCACGAATACCTGTATATACAAAAGATCTATACATCGGTGTCGTGTTAAGTTCGATATACTTTGATGTACGTCTAAGTTAGACAAAGAATTCAATTGAGATTATTAAAAAGTAGAATGGTGTAGAATGTGTCTTGGTTCGAGTGACCGACTTAGTAGGATCGGATCGAGTGTTCCAGACCGATCAACTTGGACCAGATGATATATTCGACTCACGTTGCTTCTTTGACCACAGTTTATGTGAATTAGCACACATTTCACTCATAACACCACAAAAAATGTATTAGTTTTAAAATTGATTTGAGATTTTAGGAGACTAACTTTAATTCACTAACACAAAAGAATGTGTTAAGTAAGGGTAAATTAAATGAGTTGTTAACATTAGTTTGTGATTCTACCGATATAAATTTATTTTTCCAAACGAGTGCGATTTCCGAAATGTTCACAAAATGTAACATCACAAAATTCATTTGCCACGTCTACATATTACCCATTACATGCATTAGATTTATATTATGATTCAGTAATGACAAACATGTCGGATAAGTTTTAATAAAAAACAAAAACATTTGTACAATAATGAAACTCTAAAAATTTAATTAAAACAAAGATTAAAAATGTCCTAAAATAGTTATTTTTCAGTATCCTTTAAAGTATATTCTAGGTTAATTATAGATTTAGTCTCTAAAATCAGATGATTATATCCCAAAACGAGGAGTTAAACAGTAATTGGTATGTTGGGGGCAAATCCTGGCCTGCCACGTGTCATGATCGCAAAGGTGAGTTGGTTGAACACGCGAGCGAAATGGAGAAAGCAGCTCCAAAATACACAGGTCGGCAGTCAGGGTAGGACCTCTAGTTCCGAGCCGATCTAATAGAGAGTCCGTAACAATGTCTCTTCCGTACCCGACAACACGCCGTGATTTTAGGGTGTGTCAAAATTCCTGTCGGGCCCAATTTCTATAAATAGAAACCCTAGCCTTAAATGCAAGGTACACAATCCTAAGTAGACTCGGCAAGTTAGCTCGGACTAGAACTGACTGGCTCGTCGGAGTGCTAGCTTTGTTTTGCAGGTCTCAAGAACTGTTCAAGGAAGGTGCGGACCATTGGCCATAGCTCGTCCTGAGCATACCGATCTAAATCGTATCCGAGCTCAATCAATTTCGGGCTCAAACATGGTATATATCTCCAACTTCAACCAGGTCGTGAGTGCGATCAAATTGACCATTTTATGTTTTATTATATTCTTAAAAAAAGAAAAAGAAAGAAAAGAACCGAACCAATCTAAATTGGCAAAATCTATCCAAATCCGACTCACTAACTCCTTATTTTGATTTTACTCTCTACAAAAACCAAACCAACGAACCCGATTAATACAATTCAGACCGAGCGACCGAAGCAACTCAATCTAAAATTTTCAAATTTCTACAAAAACATAGCATAGACTTTAGGTCCCAAAAAGAAAGTAATAATAGAGAGAGGGGTCCACAAGTGAATCCATAAAGCCCTAGAAGGGTACGTACAAATGAATCCCATCAAAAATGGGGGAATGCAAATTCCGGAAGGGATTCGGTATTTTGGATGCAGAATAGGTAGCACCATGGCCGACCTGTTTTCCACCTTTTTCTTTTCTTTCCATTTTTTTAAAGTTTGAAATATTATTTTGATCTATTTT